TTTTGCCAAAACCCTCCATCTTTTAGTCGATACCAACTCCGGGGAAATAAATACAGATAATGCAACTTTCTCTGCAGCTGTGATACTTTTTGACATTCAACATCTTTTGTCTTCAGTCACCGTGACCACGCACGCTGTAAAGCACGCGAAACGACGGATAAATTTAAAATTATGTTAAATAGTTGTAAATTTATAATAATACATAACTTCAATCCGGTCAAAATAGTGTTTTATTAAATGAATAAAAGTTATGTTAATCAAAGACAATACTAGTATCAGTAATTAAAAAGAATTGACATTAATTAGTTTAGAAATTGATTTTGTGTAAACTAAGTAAAATATATTCAGCTATTTACAAAGGTAGGCGGTACAAAGTTCGCGGGGTCAGCTCGTAATATGTATAAAAAATGGTGCTACAACCTTTAGCCCTGGGCCTCAGATTCCTGTTACGTGTTCTTATATTGTGATAGGTATGGTGATCAGCCTTCTATGCACACACGCCGTTAACAGGTTTCCACACAATGTTTTCCTTAACCGTACGAAAAAGTGTTAAATGCGCAAAGACACAGACAGTTCACTGGTGCACCGGAATTCGACCTCAGGATAAGAGTACACAAATCACACACAGAGATCAACGCTCTTGTCTAGAGAATAGTATGAAGCCCCGTATACAGCGGTGGCCTTAGGGGGTGGCGAACAGGGCAATCGCCCGGGGCCTCGCTCTTGCAGGGATCTCGCGCAACAACCCAAGCAAATTTAAAAAATATCGATATTTCTGCCTTTTATTTAATGTAAAACTTTAGATTTTGATCCTTAATTACTTGTTAAGGCAAATAACAGTAAATTAAAATAAAGTTAGGTGACTAATTCAAAACATAATTGGAAAATTCATTACATGACAAATATTAGGTATTTGTCAGGTACATGGTCACCAAACAACGCAAAAGTAGGTATTGTACTTTTCATGAAGGACAAAGGGCCTTGTAAAGACCTGCCGCCCGGAGCCTCGCAATGGGTAAGGCCGCCTCTGCCCGTATATCCCCGTGTTAAACATGTTAGTAGGTTAGTAAATAGAAATAGAGGGTAGAGAGAATACAAAATTACATCAGTTTCGATATCCGAATGAGCGTAAATATGCCGCGCATCACCAGCAGGTACTAAGGATCCTTGAAGGAAAGACGGTTCAAAAGGAAGTCGCTGTTCCATTAAAAAAATTGAACGGAATTAATATAATATTATATAATTCAACGTTATTAAAAAAAGGTTATCCGAAGTATCGTACGCTACTCAAGCGAAAGTTAGCAAGTGTTATTTCTCCAAGTTTATCCATTTGCGAGGATTCCATTAGGGAATTATCCGTTTCCGTACAACCATTTAGATAAGCGCTATTGTGGAATGAAGTTTAAACCTATTGTCTTCGCTTTTCTTTAATGTACCGTTTTTTATCTGGTATGTTATTGTCTATCCGCTAGATGAGGTACGGGGCGTCCCCAATCGTGCTTTTGGCTTCGCTATCGCGTACTAATTAATAATAGTTTAAACCCGTTTTTAAAAAGTTGCTAGTTTGTCGTTTTAGACAAATTGCTTCACTATAGCATCTAATATAAAATGGAAGTCGGCAAAAGAAATACAAAAGCTTATTATTTTTGGGATAATTTATGTAAATATTTTATAACACATTAACACTTAACGCATACAATGTCTTGCGTTATAGCGCTAATCGTACGATTAGCAATTACGGCTAAAAGGTCTAATAATCACATACTAAAAGAAGAGCAACATTTGCGAATTTTATTTTTAAAAAAACATAGGCCCGTTACAAAAGATGTAATTTTTTTAAATAAGAACATCAGCCAATGGAATGCTAATAACGATCACACTATTTGTTTTGGCAGAGAGAATAGATGCATAAAAGTGTTCCAATTTTAAAATAACTCGCGCTTAATTTTGTGTACTTACATTCATTTTGTTGTGTTTCATATTTTACCACTAAATCCTTTTCATTCAAATATTGAATAATGGAAAATATTTTGCATATTTTAACGAAATGAGTACTTATTAATAATTTTGCTTTATAACAATCAAATATTTATCCACATTACTGTTATGATTAATTGGTTAGAAACAATTTATAACTATCACGCTGAAATAGATTTGTCTTACGTCCAAAACGTCATTACAAATTTGACATGGAAATAATTCTAACGCAAATATTAATATAGTCAATTACTTGGTCAAACTTTTTCCGCAGAAAAACTAGAAAAGAATAAACTTATCAAACTTGGATCCCTTCCAAATTGGCGAGTGAATTTAAGTTTAATGAGTTTTCTCGTCTTTTCAGAGGTGCTTGAATTTGTGGAAATACAATATTGTGGAGTTAAAGCCACCTTGCTTCAAGTGTCGGAACAATAACATATTTATTACCGGGACTGTATGGCATTTCTCATATAGAGTATCTGATTTCGTTTGATTGCTGGACAATTTTATTATGCTTTGACCTGTCAAACACCAAGTGTTTTTATTTTTTGTCAAAACAGTAGCCAAATTGCAAGATATAAAACAGCCTACTGAATGAGCGAAAAGCAAACAAATAGTATATATTTTAAAGAGTTTTTTTAAGTGATTTTAAAACACCTAGTAATTTTTCATACAACTTATGGACTTATTATAAGTTATTAAGATCGGGTAACCAAAACTATAACATTTTGTACTATAAATAATTATTGTACTGAATGAAGTTTCACATACACCAGGGTCTGTGGTCTTTTTATCTTCTTTTTAGTTTTCTTTTTTTGTGAAATAACATTTTTAAGCGATACCTCACAATTGAAAAATGTAGTTTCATAAAACTTAAGAACAGTAAAAAATAATTAATAAAAAATTAAATAAATCACATTTTAATAAAATATATTATTTACAATAACTAACATTTGCTTTTTAACGGACAATCACAGATTACAACAAATGGGTGACACATATATAATACGAAGAAAAAATTTCATTACTTCTAATCGTTTTAATTAAAGACACTTCATGAGTTTAATTCTTAAGATTTATCACTGAAGACGAAAGAATTAAAACGTCTAAAGTCAGCGATAAATTGTTCCCCGTCTTTAATTTGTCCTATTAGTACGGGAGGTAGCAACGTTTTCGAGAAAGAATTTCAGGTCAGCTGATTTTGTGATATGTCTTCCTTCTTGCACTTCCGGTTAGAGTCTGGGCAATCTGGCTGGCGGTAGTGGTTGCGTTCATTAGTGCGCATCCTATCTGTCCAGGTAAAAATCCTGGATTTTAAAAGCATTTTAAGAAGCGTAATTTTTAATTTTTCGTTTTTAAATACGTCTACCTGACATACTTTTTTTATTGCCAGACATTTTTCACGTTGCTAACTATGTGCCAGACGCGATTTTAAGTTTTATTTTTATGAAAATTTCAAAGCATTTTAGAATGTCTGTAATTTTAATATTATGTTATTGAAATATAAGGAAAACTGAAAATGAATTTGCCAGACATTAATTCGGTTGTTAAGTCTTGAATTAAAATGATAAAGTTTTGCAGTATGATGAAGCATTGCATTTTAAGAAGCGTAATTTTTGATTTTTCCTTTTTAAATACGTCTACCTGACATACTTTTTTATTGCCAGACATTTTTCACGTTGCTAACTATGTGCCAGACGCGATTTTAAGTTTTATTTTTATGAAAATTTCAAAGCATTTTAGAATGTCTGTAATTTTAATATTATGTTATTGAAATATAAGGAAAACTGAAAATGAATTTGCCAGACATTAATTCGGTTGTTAAGTCTTGAATTAAAATGATAAAGTTTTGCAGTATGATGAAGCATTGCATTTTAAGAAGCGTAATTTTTGATTTTTCCTTTTTAAATACGTCTACCTGACATACTTTTATTATTGCCAGACATTTTTCCCATTGTTAACTATGTGCCAGACGCGATTTTAAGTTATTTTTTATAAAAATTTCAAAGCATTTTAGAATGTCTGTAATTTTAATATTATGTTATTGAAATATAAGGAAAACTGAAAATGAATTTGCCAGACATTAATTCGGTTGTTAAGTCTTGAATTAAAATGATAAAGTTTTGCAGTATGATGAAGCATTGCATTTTAAGAAGCGTAATTTTTAATTTTTCCTTTTTAAATACGTCTACCTGACATACTTTTTTTATTGCCAGACATTTTTCACGTTGCTAACTATGTGCCAGACGCGATTTTAAGTTTTATTTTTATAAAAATTTCAAAGCATTTTAGAATGTCTGTAACTTTAATATTATGTTATTTAAATATAATAAAAACTGAAAATGAATTTGCCAGACATTAATTCGATTGTTAAGTCTTGAATTAAAATGATAAAGTATTGCAGTATGATGAAGCATTGCATTTTAAGAAGCGTAATTTTTAATTTTTCCTTTTTAAATACGTCTACCTGACATACTTTTTTTATTGCCAGACATTTTTCACGTTGCTAACTATATGCCAGACGCGATTTTAAGTTTTATTTTTATAAAAATTTCAAAGCATTTTAGAATGTCTGTAACTTTAATATTATGTTATTTAAATATAAGAAAAACTGAAAATGAATTTGCCAGACATTAATTCGATTGTTAAGTCTTGAATTAAAATGTAAAAGTTATGAAAAGTATTGCAGTATAATGCTTGTAGTACGAGCATAAAAAGGAATATAAAATTTGATTAAAATTAATAATCAACACTTTATTTAAATTGTCCTAATTACTAAATGTAAGTTATGAATAATTAATATTAAGTTTTCAAGTTGTTTTAGCCTATAGTGACGTCACAAAAAAGATGAAAAAAAAAAAAGTAAAAAACACAAAAATAAACAAACTTTTTAACTTCTTGCAAACTTTTTTCACAAAGTTTGCAAGAAGTTAAAAAGTTTGTGGAGCGTGGAGTTGGCGTCAGTCTAATGTCACATGTTTGAATTGTTTTGATTTTAATGATTATTTTTTAATTTAGTTACAATGGCTAATGACAAAATAAAGTGTGTTATATGTAAAGGACATAACGATAATTTAATACTTTTCGAGGGTGATAAACTAAAAAAATGTCAGCAAGTTTTAAGTGTACGTGTGAAACATAAATTAAAGTACAGTGACATTGAGCTGCCCACACAAATTAATAAGACAGATGGATATCATAGACAGTGTTATAGTAGTTTTACTGCTTTAATGGCAAAATACCGTGATACATCATCAGAAACAGATTATGCCAGTAACTTCACTTCACCCACTTTGTCACCAAGTATTATAGTAGATATTAGTGAAAATGCTGCTTCAAATTTAGATAGTCAGACAACGTTAGAATATGTTGCTTACAGCGAAACTAATGCTTTTAATGAAATTCCTAATACTAATATTGAAGATGTTGGAAAAGATCGACAACTCAAAAATGTTTGTTTTTTTTGTGATAAAGAGCGTAAACAGAATAAGGGTAAACAACAAAATCTTCATTCCTCACCCGATGCAAAGCTTTATGACAAAATCATTGACTGGATGGAAAAACTTAATAATAAAGAATTATTACAGAAAATTAATCGTCTTAAATCTGAAAATAAAACAATTTTTTATCATCATTTATGTGAATTAAATTATTTAAATGATTATAATAAAATAGTTTCAGACATTCGACATACTTCTTGGCATAAAAATCGCAATATTCATAAAGATATTTTTAATCATATTGTATCAACGGTAGAAGAAGAAGTAATGCAAAAAAAAAAATGTGTATTTTTATCATCTCTCTGTGATACGTACAATAATTATTTGGAATATGAGCAGAAACTAGAGCCTCAGTCAGATATTAGTTTAATAACTAATCATTATCTTGAAGAAAAAATACAAAAACATTTTAAGAAAAGTATTAAATTTATATCGAAGCAAAACAAAATAATTATCATTCATAAAGATTGCAGCTTACTAGAAAATGATTTCACAAAACTTGAAGAAGACAACTTAATTGATAAAGTTGCATTAACCTTGCGAAATGCTATTTTAAAAATTGAAAAATCAAAATTACCATCGAAAATTAAAACAAACGACTTAATTACTGGTGAATGCGTGATTCCTGATAAATTAAATCGATTCTTCAAAGTATTGATGGGGGTAAAGATATAAGACGCAGAGATAGTTTAAATTGTAGTAGATTGACTTCCTCACTGGCTGCTGATGCCATTTTTTGTGTAAGTAATGGTACTGTTAAACCATCTAAACATATCACTCTTGGTATGACTATAAAAAGTCTAACAAGCAGCAAAAAAATAATAAATATTTTAAATAGATTTGGACATTGCTGTAACTATACCACTCTAGAAGAATTAGAAACAGAAGCAACTATCTCATCAGTACGTCAATCCCAAGTTTGTCCTCCAGACATTATTTTAAATCCTTCGCTATGCACCGGTGTAGCATTCGATAATTTCGATAGATATGTTGACACGTTGAATGGAAAAGAAACTTTACATGACACTGTGGGGATTATATACCAAAACATTGATAGTTATTCCTGTAGTGGATTTAACCAAGATTATGGTAATGCAAACTCCGAAAATGTGTCACCAACAAGGCCACCTCAAAAAGAAGAAGAACTTTGACAGAAATTACTCCAGATATTATTCCTTATAGCAAGCGATTAAAGATTTTGGTTCGCTTAACGCCAGTTCAAATCGATCAAACATCACCTTTACCCGAAAATTTCTCATCTATACAAACAATTGATCTATTGCATTTGCTTTCATATGTTTTTCACGTGCCGAACACACCATCGTGGGCAGGATTCAATTGCAGAATTATAGAAGACAATAGTCCAAAACAGAAAGTATCTTATCTTACTCCTATTAATTTATCACCTACAAATGTATCAGTAGTAGCCTACACAATGGAACAAGCACAAAATGTTGGTAAAGAATGTGGTCAAACTTATGTACAAGTTACTTATGACTTAGGCATTGCTAAAACAGCTTATAAAATTCAAGCAACAGAAGGTTTAAAGTTTAGTAATCTTTTCATACATCTTGGCTCGTTTCATTTAATGATGGCATTTTTTAAAGCGGTAGGTACTTTTATCAATAAGTGCGGGTTATCTCACATGATGATTGAGAGTGAAATTATTGCTTCGGGGTCTGTAAATGGAATAATTGAGGGTAAACATTTTAACCGTTGCAAACGTCTACACCCGTTAATTGCATTAGGCTTACAAATATTGCATTTCGATATATTTTTAAAGAGTAAGAATGCTGAACATGATTTTGTGAAAGGACAAATTTATGAAGATCTGCTAGAATATCAAAACAAAAAAATTTCGTTACCACCATCAGCGAGCACGGATTTAATACCAAATGAAGTGTTATCGGAACTGCTCAATTCTTATAAAAGGTACGTAGAAAATTCCAGACAAGGCAACCACGGAAAAACAGCACAATTTTATATGATCTACATCGAGTTAATTAGTCACTACATAAACCTGTCGAGAAGCATACGTATGGGTGACTTTGAAATGTTTAAGTACGTGATTCCGAAAATGGCAAATTTATTTTTTATTGTTAATCAGCCTAACTACGCTCGATATTGTGTAAAATATTCGGAAAATTTGAATAATGTCAATAAAACTCACCCTGGACTAGAAGACGATTTTTATAAAGGAAGTTTCGGAGTAAAAAGAACCGACAAACCATTCTCACGAATACCGATAGATCTCACTCTGGAACAAACAATAAATGCTGATGCAGCTAAACGATTGAGTGGTATTGCTCACTTTACTAATTCTATAGCTGCACGACAACGATGGTCAAAAAGTCACAGCATAAGAGCAGCATTGATATCACACGTCTTGGATGTTTGTGGCTTAAGGAACTTACAAGATATAACAGCAGAATTACAACCTAACAGAATTAAAATCTATGGAAAACAAATTGCTGATTTTATTGAAATTCTCAAAGCAAATTGCAATCCATTCGATCCACAATTAGATAAAGAAAATCTGTACAACATTGCTACTTCAAAGCCTGCTTCTCCTGAAGTTGCTGACTTTTTATTGAATATTCAAGAGAATGGTGAGAATTTAAGGAACCGATTTATCAATGAATGCGCAGATGATGAGAGTAGATTTGATAAACCAATAAAAAAAAATAAAGTTTTTAATTTTGCTGAAGCGCCAAAAAAGAAGAAATTGACGCTAGGGAATAAAGTTGTTGAGCTGCGAATGCAGAGAGATCTATTTGGTAGAATGCTGGGAATTTCTCTCACTCACAAGGTTGACATTGAAAAAGTTTTGGCATTTCCACTTACCCCGATGCCAACGTCAATGTGTCATCCAGATGGTTCAATATGTAAAACCGACAAATCGCAATTAGCAAAGTTAATAGAGAAGAAATTGGACAACACTATAGATCGACAACCGTCAACTTTTGATGTTTGTCTTGTTGATGGTTTTTTTGTTGCATCTGATGAAAGATGTGCCACAAACCTATGAAGGTATTTCTAAGAAGTTTCTATGTACTATCTCCCAAATGAAATCTGTACGAATTGATATTATCTTCGACCAATATTTTTTGCCTTCTATCAAAGATTGTGAACGTTTACGGCGAGAAGAAGCAACCAGCCCTGTCTCAATCGGTCCTAACCAAATTCGGCCCCATAATTTCGCAGCTGAACTTAAAAATGTGCAATTTAAAGAAGCTTTGGTTAACTTTTTTTATTGATCACTGGGGTAGTGAAGACATGTTGCCGTTCATTGGTAATAAAAACATTTACGTAAGTTTTAATAAATGTTATTCATACAAAGTGATAAATAACAAAGTAATTAAAACTATTGAAGAATCATTATCGTGTGAAGAACACGAAGAAGCTGATTCTAGGATAATTTTTCATATTTGCCAAATCGATTTTGACGCAGAAGTTGTTATACGCTGTTCTGATTCTGATATTTTAATTATACTTCTGGGAAATATGGATCACCTGAAAAAATCTTTGAAAATTTGGATAAATATGGGTGTTGGAAATCATCAGCGTTACATAAACATCAATGAATTGTACCGAATTCTTGGTGACTCTTTATGCAAAGCTTTACCATGCTTCCACGCAATCACCGGATGTGATTACACGCCAGCTTTTTTTAGAAAAGGCAAAGTTAAGCCTTTTAAAATATTAGAAAATTCTGAGGAATACCAGTTAGCTTTTGATAATATAATTTCGGATGATAAAGAAGTACTTGAAACTACGTTTGTAATCCTGGAGAAATTTATTTGTCAAATGTATGGAGTTAAAAATTGTTCGATTGTTAATGATGTTCGATTTCATTTATTTTCAAGTACGTTTAAGTCAAAAAAATCAGATGAGAACTTTGACAAAAAAATTTCGAAACTTTGACTCATCCAGTTTGCCACCCTGTAAAGTGGAATTGGAACAGCATTTATTGAGGGTTCGTTACGTGACGAAAATTTGGAGAAATGCTCACTTAAAACATCCAACATCTTTATCTCCAATGGCTTTTGGGTGGACCATTAACGGTGACAAATATGATTTTGTTTGGTTTTTGGGAGATCAATTACCATCCTCAGTTGCAGATATTATTGTTCAAAGTAAGTGTTAAATGGAACATTTATCAATAATAACTAAAATGTTTAATAACGAACAAGAAAAATCACACTGTTTATTTTTTTCTGTTGCAGATGATAGAGTTTTAGAAGATAACGAAAGTTCCCAAGAAGATGATATGAATGACACCGACAAAGACAGCGACGATGATGATGATGATTATGAAGATGCCTCTTTTTGTGACGTCACTATAGGCTAAAACAACTTGTAAAACTTAATATTAATTATTCATAACTTACATTTAGTAATTAGGACAATTTAAATAAAGTGTTGATTATTAATTTTAATCAAATTTTATATTCCTTTTTATGCTCGTACTACAAGCATTATACTGCAATACTTTTCATGACTTTTACATTTTAATTCAAGACTTAACAATCGAATTAATGTCTGGCAAATTCATTTTCAGTTTTTCTTATATTTAAATAACATAATATTAAAGTTACAGACATTCTAAAATGCTTTGAAATTTTTATAAAAATAAAACTTAAAATCGCGTCTGGCACATAGTTAGCAACGTGAAAAATGTCTGGCAATAAAAAAAGTATGTCAGGTAGACGTATTTAAAAAGGAAAAATTAAAAATTACGCTTCTTAAAATGCAATGCTTCATCATACTGCAATACTTTATCATTTTAATTCAAGACTTAACAACCGAATTAATGTCTGGCAAATTCATTTTCAGTTTTTATTATATTTAAATAACATAATATTAAAATTACAGACATTCTAAAATGCTTTGAAATTTTTATAAAAAATAACTTAAAATCGCGTCTGGCACATAGTTAACAATGGGAAAAATGTCTGGCAATAATAAAAGTATGTCAGGTAGACGTATTTAAAAAGGAAAAATCAAAAATTACGCTTCTTAAAATGCAATGCTTCATCATACTGCAAAACTTTATCATTTTAATTCAAGACTTAACAACCGAATTAATGTCTGGCAAATTCATTTTCAGTTTTCCTTATATTTCAATAACATAATATTAAAATTACAGACATTCTAAAATGCTTTGAAATTTTCATAAAAATAAAACTTAAAATCGCGTCTGGCACATAGTTAGCAACGTGAAAAATGTCTGGCAATAAAAAAAGTATGTCAGGTAGACGTATTTAAAAAGGAAAAATCAAAAATTACGCTTCTTAAAATGCAATGCTTCATCATACTGCAAAACTTTATCATTTTAATTCAAGACTTAACAACCGAATTAATGTCTGGCAAATTCATTTTCAGTTTTCCTTATATTTCAATAACATAATATTAAAATTACAGACATTCTAAAATGCTTTGAAATTTTCATAAAAATAAAACTTAAAATCGCGTCTGGCACATAGTTAGCAACGTGAAAAATGTCTGGCAATAAAAAAGTATGTCAGGTAGACGTATTTAAAAACGAAAAATTAAAAATTACGCTTCTTAAAATGCTTTTAAAATCCAGGATTTTTACCTGGACAGATAGGATGCGCACTAATGAACGCAACCACTACCGCCAGCCAGATTGCCCAGACTCTAACCGGAAGTGCAAGAAGGAAGACATATCACAAAATCAGCTGACCTAAAATTCTTTTTTTCAAACGTTGCTACCTCCCGTACTATATCATTAATTTATTTTTAAGGCCGTAACTTGACATTTTCTTGTCGCCATTGCATTGTCAATACATCTTTATGTTATTATTATACTGTCAATTTAGTATTTAAGGTATTTTAGGAATATAGCTTATATCTTGATTATCCACAAACGTTAATAAAGCATTCTGTTTCGAGAGCTGTCATCTGTCAATATGAAGTCTGACATATTTAAAATTCTTGAGACGACTTTAGCTACGAAATGGAACACGGGCATAAAACATTTTTAATATATAATATTCTAGACTCTAGCTATTAATAATTAGATAGAACGATGTCGGTTGATGTAAACATGCCTGCTACAAAACTAGCGAAACATAGTATAAGAATTTCAAATTTGAAATAAAAATTGAGACAAATAAACGAACTTTAATCATAAATAGTTTTCTTTTCCATTTAATTTGTAGCTTCTTTAGAAAATTTTACTTCGCTATCTTGACGTTCATCTCTTAATGAAACTTTAATCATGCAAGGGCCGGGCCGTTGTATCCCGCATAGTAACCATGGCAACATAATGACGCGCTGGCGCAGTAATTGAAACATCCTGTTTTAATCTCCATTTTTAATGTACCTCTATTGTTCGATCATTAAAATCATGCTATTCCCACGCTTTGCTTTCTTCTAAAGATAATGTATTAAGCCGTACAGCCGTTAAGAGTCGTTCATTAAATTTAACGGTTACTTAAACCGTTTAGCAAACATAAAACTAAACGGCTTAAGAAACTACATAATATAGTAAAGTAAAAAATCATTTAATCGTATAGGTAACGTAATGTACACTTATGACTTGTCAGTAAAGAAATACATATTAATGCTTCTAATTTTACATTTACTGCCAGTTCTCAAATCAAGGGCGTAGAACGGGAGAGAACTGGCAATAAACTCTCCGCCACTCTTTTTAACCGCCATTTTTTTTTGTTTTACAAATATTCGGCCATATAAATTTCATAGCTTAGTTGCAACGTAGATAATATATAATAATTAATCTATAATAAGGAATAAATAATTCAGTTACCAACGGTTACAGACCCTTAAATGTCTAAGTTTGTGTATTTATAAATACATGTATTTGTCATAAAATGTTTATTTCTTATAATAAACGTTATATGATTTATTAAATTTAAAATTAAATTATTGCAGAATCCAAATGTTAAAATCCTACCTTTTCATCGCCTTACCCTTAAGTTTGGTTAACGTACCTGTAAGAAAACAAAATCATTTTAGTATGAATTCAATCCCTTTATGTTAATAATATGATGGTAAGTTTAGTAGGAAAATGTATGTCAGAATATAATTCTAAATAATTGTAATACGTCTGTTTTACTGATAAAGCATTTACATACATTATTCGATAAGAAAACATTGAATAGTTTAAATCTTGAACGCAAACTTACAAAACGCAACGCCATTTGTAACAACAAAGTTCTCAACTTCTTTAATTAGACTTTAGCAACTAACGATATTATCAGAAACTAAATGTTACAGAGTACTAGTGCTGTGTACTGTGGCCCAAAAAAAAACAAAACGTTTTTTGTTTCGCAAAATACACAGTTGAGAAAAATCTACATATTTTTTGATGTCATTCCTTTTTGGCTACAATGTGGTGTAAGGGGAACTTCCTTTATAAGGCTTCGGTTGGTGGCCGTGCCAGTCTAACGTTCTGTATGACTTAATTTTTTTATTTTTTAACCTGCAGGATGCTCATATGATGTTAAGTCAATGAAAGAGGGTTCGCGAGTGCGCCGAATTTCTAAGAATTGGTATATTGCATAAGGTTATTTTTATGCATATATGTATATAGATATATATGGTGCTATTCCGAACCCGACTTCGTATTGTAACTGGTAACACGAACTAGGCTTAAGTCATGTTTAGAAACCAGTGAATTAATTACCAAACTATTAGCCTAGAACAACGGGTTGAATTAAATTATTTAGCAAGTTACAGTTTGACATTAAGCCTATTTGGGTTTAGACAAGGTCGACCCACATCCATTTAACTGATAAAAGATAAAGTCACTCAAATTGGAAACATGAGGGTATCAGCGTTCACTGCAGATATAAAAGGTCTTAACTTTGGAGCATCAAGGCGTTTTTCAGACCATATATAAGCAGTGTTGGCCTAGTGGCTTCAGAGGTCGTAAGTTCAATCCTCGGCTGTGCATTGTACTCTGTCTATGTGCGCATCTAGCTCGTATGGTGAAGGAGAACAATGTGAGGAAAACGGTATGTTTCAAATCCAAAATCGATGACATCTGTCAGATCAGGCTGATCAACTACTAGTCTATGTAACAAGATGATCAAAGAAACTAATTCAAATTCAAAAATCCAAATGACCCAAGTATAGTAAAACGTTTTACCACCTAGTGACTCTTTATACTTAAAAGTTACCATTATGTGGTGTAAAGTACTGGAAAGTCGAAAATAATATTAACAAATTCAATCCCCGCCCCGCATCATAACATTTTACAAAAGGACCCCCCAAAATTCGTTACGTAATACTTGAACGCTCCCTTACCCAAGAGGGGTCCACATCTACAGGCGACTAATATATTACTACAACAGCTATAAGTAAATACTAACAACGTTTGAAACGGAACTTAAGTATATATGAAAAAGACTTTTATTATTAAGTACATATTTAGTTTATTTATATGAGCAAAAAATTTTACGGATAAACCATTTTGTAATTATTCCGCTTTTCGTAGGGTTGCAAAAGAATCGCACACAAGTAAGCGTTTGTGATTACAGAATCAATATCATGTAAATATCCCGTGTACGTGACAGGAACTATGATATCCTTCAACCACATCTCTCATGCGTAAACCTGTCATTTATAAACCGTGTGATAAGGGAATCTCGCTTTTGTGTAATTAGACGCGTAATAACTTTAGTATGAACGTTAATTAATTAAGTTTTTTTAATAAAAGCTATAAATATAAACATTGATATGTTTTTAAGAATGTAGTCGAGTGTAAATAAACTTAAGTGGAAGTGAGCGGGACACATGGCAAGAGGAACAGAAAAATGGAGAAAGAAAGAATTAAACTGGTGCCAACAATAAACTCAAAAGAGGAAGACAATTTAGAAGATGGATAGACCAGATTAAGGAAATAGCAGGTGGTACATGCTAGGTCGCGCTTTTAAACCTAACGGCTGTATCAATTGATTTTTTAAACACGTCGCAATGAAACCAATGTCAAAAGAATTCAGATTCGATGCCTAGCGCTAATATGACTCTCATTCATCACAAACGTAATGTATTTTAATCTTACATACGACTGTTTTTTTTATAGAACAGGGGGTAAACCGGTAGGAGGCTCACCTGATGTAAAGTCATACCACCACCCATGGACACTCAATGCTAGGGCTCGCGCGTGCGTTGCTGGCGTTTTTAGAATAGGTACGCTCTTTTCTTGAAAGACCCTAAGACGAATTGTTTCGGAAATACTTCAGTGAGCAGCTGGTTCCACTGGTGGTGCGCGGCAAGTGTCGACAAGGAATCTTATCCAAAAATGGACATCGTGACTCAGGCATCAGCGGCTGATGAACTTGCACATTAAAATACATGTTC